GTCGATTTGCGAGTTGTGTGTCTCAGTTTATTTATATTTTCTTTAAGTTTTTCTTTTATGAGAATTTTGTTTTTAAAATATTACACACATATTAAACGCATTTTATATATAAATTGACCAAGTTAGCGTTGCTTAAGATGTGTCGCGATTTCAATTATGATATTCAAAAATATTTTTCATTTTGTATTTTTATATTCGGACATACTAAACACAAACTAATGTCTTTAGTTGTAAAAAAGCAATAAAGTATAATTTTCCATTTTATAATTATGTACATATGGTATATGATTTTTTTTTATGTTATTTTGTTTGTCAACAAAAATTATAATAAAATATTAATTGCTAGTTTATATCTTTTATATTTATTGTGTTATACAATAATAATAACTGTATTATGATTTGAATAATAACTTGATGGTTACAACAACAATATTTTGAATATATTTAGAGACCGATAAAAATTTTTTATAACACGTGGTGGACAATACCGCTATCTTAATAAAAAAAAACAACAACAACAACACTTTTATGACTTTAATAAACATAATATTATTGTCAAATATCATCACGTTTCATCTTGAAATAAATCAATGTCATTTTTGAAACATGCCATGATTTTCTACTTTACTTAAATTGAAAAATATAAAAATTTTTTTTTTGTTAATGTTTTTCATCTAACTGAAAAATTTTCTCGTTTCATCCATTAATAATTAATGGTTTTAGTTTTATTTTTTTTATTTTATTTTATTTTACTTCTTTAAGTTATAGCACATGTGTTTAAGAAGTTCAATGTTAAAATGACGTTTAAATTTTGTCAATATTTTTTTCTCTTTTTTTATTTTTGATTTTTAAAATAAATTCTGTAGTTTTGTATTGAAATATTGCGGCATGTTGTATTGGTGAAAAATTAAAATAAAACGTTTTATCTGCATGATTCTTAAAACAGAAACGAAAAAAGATGGCATGAAAAATAAATTATCTGTAACACTTTGCATATAAAATAAATTTTTTGTTGTTTTTTAATAATGTAAAAAGGTTTTTTTTTATATATAAAATTTTGTTATTCATTTTGATTAAAACCTTTTTTTTTTGTGAACTAATCTTCGGCAAATGCTTTTTATTTACAGAATATTGCCTGTCAAATTGGCAATAACACATTATCAGAACTATATGTATAACTGTTACAGCTCTCTCTCTCTCCTCTCAAACGAATAGAAAGATCACCAAAGGAATAAACAAGTAAGAACGTTTTAATCGGTTAAAACCGACTGAATTATATCCTGCACTTTGACATTTTGAGTATAAAAACTTGCTTTTGAAATATTTAGAATTAGCTTTAATGGTTGTATGTCAGTTACTCAAACCTGCTAGATCATTCCACAAAACATGATTGCCAAGTTTCATGAATTTAGCTTTATTATTTTTCCGAATATATAAATTTCATTCCATTGAAATTTTTCGAGCACATGTAAAATGTAAAGTTTATATATATATCTTTCTTACTTCTTCAAATGTTTAAAATAAATTCTTTAAGTTGTATGGCAGCTACTCGAATCCGTTGACCGAATTGGTCCAATAGCAATAGAGTCCGTCCTTGGAACAAAATAAGCAACTTGTGAAAGTTTCGTCGTATTTGCTTTATTCGTTTTTGAGTTGTGCGATCGGACGGACGTAAAAACGGACAGACATGTCTAAATCAACGCAGTATTTTACACTGAGCAATATTCGTAATATACACGTCTATACCGGAGAAGATGCAATCAAGTGTTTACAAACTCTAAAACCAAAGTTAATATACCCTTCACGAAGGTGCAGGGTATGAAAAGAAATTAAGCAGTATGTATTTAAAGAAAAAAATAATCGGTACGAGTTATTTACGGTACGAAAACGCACGATCAGGGCATTTCTTTTAAATTCGAAATGTTCTGCTATGAGATTAACCAATAAATATACTTTTTTTTAGGATAAATCGGTTTTATTGTGAAGAAAAGAAAATCATTAACTTTAAAATGAAACTTTTAAAATGTGCATATCATGTCATTTTTGTATAGCACGCAGAATGCAATTAAATGTGGCAAATACGCTGTTATGCTTGAGTTTCCTTTTCGATTTAATATATTGTGGAAAAATGGTATGATAAAGTACAAGAGCTGATAATAACAACCTACAGTAATAGGAAATATCCCATTGAATATAAAGTTTGCAAAGAATAGTTCCGCATGATCGATTAAAATTTTCTTAATTCAAAAGTATTAAATTTATTTTTTAAATTTGTTTAAATTGTTTTACGCTTTCGATATGACGTTATCAAATTTTTACTTAAAGAAGAGGGCACTCTGTTAATGTGCTTGAATATATTTTACTTCTTATTTATTTGTTTATAAAAAAAAATTTAAATGAATATTTTATATTTGAAATATTGACATTGACATTGAATTTTGATTATTCTGTGTCCGAAACTTAAGTGCAGAAATAAATTGTAAAACAAAATATTAAAAAGGATTAAATTTTTTTGTATAAATTCTTAATTTTCATATTAAATTGGAAAAATATTTTAATCACTTAAAATTATTTGAATTTTTTATGAATGCGGAAATTGTCGAGCATTTATTTTAAGAATTTGCAATGTTAAAATCAATAATATATTATGTACAGTCCCAATTCGAGAATAATTTGAAAATATCGAAGAATTTTTGTAAGGTTTGAACTGTTATGTTTTATTACTTGTGTTATGGACATTATGAGGCCGCAAAAACATGTTTAAAAAAAACTTTCAATTGTCTTCATATTGGCAAAATCAATTTTAATATTAATTTCTCTAGAATTTTGTTAACTTTCTTAATTATTTTTAACATTGGAAAATAATGTTCATTAATCGAACACTGTAACTGTAAAAAGGAAACTGGGAATATGGAACTATGCTTTATTTTACTTATTCTTAAAGGAAAATTTAGTCCTAAATTTTAAGTTTTTAAGAATACATATGTATATAAATAAAATTAGAATATTTTAGAAAAATCTTTGTTTTGTATTTGGGTAAAGTTCTTTATTTGGTGAGTTAAACAAATACATGGATGTTTTAATATTCTGATTTACAATAGTTTTTTATAGCTAAGGACGGCTTTAATTTTGGAAATATCAGAAAAGTAAACAAAAACTGTACGAAAACAAAATTTGCTCATTTTAATATCAAGTGTCTAAAACTAGGAAGTCTTTTATAAAATAAATGTAAAAAACAAAAAAATTATAACGAAAATTTATACAATAACCTGCCATCCTATTCGAAATATGAGAAACAAAGGTATTATAATGTAGGAGCATGAAGATGTTATGATTATTGTATATTTATTTTAATTAATTATGAAGTATTTGTTTTTCCTACAACGAGTGATAAAATTTTGTAGACGTAATTTGTACATGACTTAAATTACTTTCACTCACACACAAAAATATATGAAATGATTGCATACATTTAGGATGACTCAAAGGATGAGACCAAAAAAAAGAAATTTGAAGGAGGCGTTAATACTCGTATTATGGTTGAATTCAAAATTTAATTGCACCTGAGCTAAGAAAAATTATTATATTTTTTGGTGGCATGGCATTTGCCGTAAGCTTTCTGCATTTATAGACATTTGGAAAAGATTACAGTTTCGGAAATTTGAAAAAGGTTGCAGTTTACAAGTTTCGAGAGTCGATAAGTAACTCGCTACACCGCGATGGAAGAAGCCTGCTATTCCTCTTCTGCGTTTGCAGAATTTGGGAAGTTTTTGTTGTTTGTAATAAATAAACACTTGTTCATCATTTTTTTTTTGTTTCCATTAACTTTCTTTCAATTCTCTAACATTTCAGATGCAATCAAGCAATAAGTGCAACATTTAATTTGAAATTATTATTTAGAAATCTAAAAAGTTTCGGTGCCTTTCAAAATATTACAAAATTTATTTATTTTCAAATTCGTCTTTTTGAAATCATTAATTAACAATTTCATGTACAATAAATGTCTTTCTTGAATTATTGAATTTAATATTTTGACTTAATTAACACCAAAAATTCAATAAAAATTTATTTTGAAATTGAGTTTTTTGATAAGTCAAAAGATTTTAATAATTTCTCTTATTTATTTGTTTTGTGGGTGTATGCAAAGAGTTACAAAAAATAAAAGTCAATCAAAGAAAAATATTTTTTTTTCGCTAGGAAATCATTTCCAAATCAACCACAATATTATTTTTTAATACTTAAGCAATCATTGAAATTAGTTTTTCATATCATGATTTTTAAATTATTATTTTTAAAACTCAAAATTAAATTTGTTCGGGTGTAGATTTAAATTTATTTCACGTCGATTGTGGCGATGTCTTGTGATGATTACAATTGACATTTGTTTTGGTGAATCGAAAACAAAATTCCTAAATTTATGAATTTAAGATTTAACAACCATTTTTTGATGAAATATGGTTAGACAATGTAATCGTATTATTTTTGAAGATGAAAATAAAAAAAAATTAAATTTTTTTATGTTAATAAGATTAACTAATCAAATTTTATTTCTTTATTTTATAATATTGCGCACGAATTTTTTAATGCATATTCCAATAAACCCATTTGTGTATTTAGACATACATGTGTATGAATATGTGTGCAAATATGTAAATTTTTTAGAGTTGTTTATTCAGACGCTTTGCTAATATAATGATGAAATAATTTAATATCGTGGCCATTATTATAATATCGAAATGTCTTTATTAGTTTATATGGTTGATATGGGGGAATTTTGTTTAAAAAATATTTTCATGTCGAAAACATTAACAAATTGAGATTTAAAAAATTATGTTTAAAAAATGCACTCTTTCATTAGTTATTATTTTAAACAGACTAAATTAAATTCACGAATTCTAAATAACGAATTACTTGTCAATTTCTTAATGAAAAATAAGAAATTTTCTCATTTATATTTGAATTCCGTTCTAAAATTTTAATAAATTTTAAAAATTACTTACCGCAAGTATTTTCATCAGAACCATCTGAACAATCTTTTTCACCATTACAGAAAAGACCACGTTCTATACATTGACCATCACCGCAAGCTAAGAAACCATCTGAACAAAGTGGCTCATCTGTATGTAATAATGGTTTTACTTTACGTTCTTTATTCTTTAATTTACAATTTTTAACTGAATCTTTCCAATCACATGTTTGTTTTTCAATATCAAAGAATAAACCGGCTGGACAACGAATAGCTTGAAGACCCTAATATATATATATACAAAATTAAATTAAATTCAATAATACATAATATTATAGATTTCAATAATTAATTTTAATTGTGTCTTTTTTAAATTTTTAGATAAAAATGGCCATATGAACTTACAGATGATGTACATTGAATAACATCACGACAATTATCACCTTCTCCAGCTACCAGCCTAAACCATTCACCAGCATCTTTATCTTTACATAATTCTTGTTCAAAAGTTTCTTCTTTCTTTGGTTCTTCTGCTGCTTGTCTTTTGACACGTACTGCTGACACTGTAATTAAAAACAACAGAAAAATAAGAAAAATTATAATATTGGTTTTAAATATTCAAATATTTTTATTATTTATTTTAAATTTTTAAATGTCTTAATTATTATTTTCTATTATTTCCATAAACGATTTATGAATGTTTATTTTTAATTTCTAGAAATTTTTATAAATGCAAATTTATTTTGAAATATAAATTATTTGAAATTTATTTTGTAATATTTTATTTCATAATTTCATTAGAAAATTTTACATGTACGTACATAAATACATAAATATTATTTTATGAAAAAGATTTGAATAAATGAAACGAATAAATCAATCTGATCAAGTTTGAATATCAATAAATTTAATTTAATATAGTCCTGAGGCAATAAAAATTCATGTTAATGTAAATAATGTTGTATGTATGTATGTACCTTAATTCCATTTTACTTAGTATTCCATATTTTTATTATATATGTATGTATTGTATGCATAAGATTTTAGCATGAATCCTTCGAATACAATTTAAAACTTTAAATCAATAAATTTTTTTTAAATTTACAATTTTATTTGGATCATAAGTTCATATATGTACGAGTATAACAAAAATTATTGTATTTAAGGGTGAAAACACAAAGGTATAATATACAAGTTTAATTTGTATTGTTGGTAGTTAACAATACAATTTCGGATTTCTGTAAATTTTGAATTATCGTATTTTTAGAGCTGTAGAATACAATTTATTTAAATTTACGATCTTATGCAAAATATAGTATAAATTTGCATATTAACTATAAAGTTAAGAACTAATTGTTCAATAAATTTTTTAAAATCTTTATTTAAAATGTCAATTAAGTTGAAAAAGATTAAGATTTATATGGTTAATTAATGAATTATTTGCTGTTTACAATAGAAATAATTTTATTAATGATAAAGTACAATATAAAAATAAGTTCCTATGAAACACAATATTGAATTTGTGCTAAAAGACTAAAAAGTTGATTTCCAAACCCATCATAATGGTATTTTGATTTACGATAATGAAATCAATAATATTTCTCTGTTATGTTAATAATGGTATATGTTAATTAGAAGTATTTGGAAATGCAAAATATAATAATAATATAAAGTTTTTTGTCTGATTGAATGGGCAATTTCACATTATTGGCCACATTCACGATTTAATTCTAATAAAATTCTTCTATTAAGATTCATAAAAATACGCTATACTCGTATATACAGCGATGAGAATGATTTTTGTACACACATTTAAAATTTACAGCTTCTAAGGTCTTATTGACCGCAATAAAATGTATAAGAGTATAGTTAACCTCAAAATTCAATTCAGAACGCTTCGTTTCTTATTATTTCAAATAAAACGTAGAAGGTGAAAATGATGATCCTATTTCGTAAGGACCAAGAAGTAATTCTGGACAGATTTCTATCATGCTATTGTCTATAACTTTCAGATTCGGTGTTTTAAATTTTCTTAACAATAACATAGTTTTATTTTTGTCGCACACTTGAGATCACTTGTCATTCAATATGTTTAGTACTTCAAAAATAATCTACAAAACCAATTGCAAAAGATTTTTTTATTCAATTTTTAAAATTTTTTAAATTTTATTTTTATTATTTCTATTTTATTTCATTTGATAATGCAAAACTTAAATTTTATTTGATTTTAAATTGCGATATTTCTCTTACATTTTACAACTCAAACTTGAATTCAGTAATTTTTTGATTTTCTTGTTTTTTTTATTAAATTGTTCTAAAAATTGAATATATTATTGACATTATGCAGTAATTTAATCTAAAGATTTATTGAATAATTGAAATTCCAAAAAAAAATAAATGCAAATAACATAATTATTGCAATAAAATATGTGTAGATAGAAAAAAAACACCTGTTTTATTTATTACAGGTAAAGGTACATAAAATGCATTGCATATATGTATGTGTACAATATTGAGATATATTACATTGCATAACATTTTTTTAGATAGAAACAAAAATGCGTGTATAAATGTTATTTCGTACTTTACATATAAATATTGTAGGTATGTATACATATGTATGTCTGAATGTGCATATGTGTGGAAAACAAAGAGATTTTCATTCAAAGAAACAACAAAGAAAATATTTTTTTGTAAAAATTTTGTAGCTTGAAAATACCGTTATAGAACTCTTTCGAATGTCGAATAAATTTAATTTCGAAAATAACAATAATCCAGTTTTTTGTTAATAACATGACATAATTTGCATTTACATAAATATTTTTTAATTTATTAAAATTATTTTATATTAATAATAAGTAAAATAAACTAAAAACAGATTACTGAAATAATTCCTAAATAAATACGAAAAAAAATTATTGTTTAAGAATTGTAAATATCGCGCCACTTTAATCCACACAAAAGATTGTCTTTTCATTTCATTAAACAGAGTGCACACGCAATAGTGATATTGAAAAGATATAGTTGAAAAATAAACAGAAATAAAAGTATTTAACAAAAATAATTCAAAAATTAATGGGGTATAAAGTACAAATTAATTAAAAAAAATAAACCATGGCTCAACTTAAATCCCCAAGAGTACATCTGTATATGAGGTTATTATAGAACAGGGTGCAATTCCTGGATAATTTTGTCAGAAGGTATTCTATTAATTATATTAAGCAAAGAACATTATTCACGTATACTATATGATATTCATGATTAGCTGTTTTGAGCCATTTGATATCAGACTTGAGAGCTTTCCAGAAACTTCTGATGCTATATAAGTGAATCGTGAACATTTTATTGCCATAATAGAGTATTAACAATAATGAATAGTGTTATATTACTACAATTTATTGAAATAAATTTTCATTTTATAATAATTCCTTGATCTTATGTAAGAATTCTAATTTCGTAAATTGCAATCTATTATATAAAGTTCGTTAAATATTGTTTAGTTTAAATAAATTTGAAAATGCATTCGAGCAGTCAATCAAAAGTGAAATCTCAAGGTTATAATTTTTTTCTTCTTTATTTCACTTTTTGTTTTCATTTAAAACTAGCAAAACGACCACCATGTCAAGTTTACAATAAAAAAAAAATTTTTTTTAATACTGCAGAATTCTTTTGTTTTTCGTACATTTTTCTTTTATAAATTCTACTTAATTCTGGAATGCTAAATGCATATATAAGAAAAAAATCTAAATTCCAAGAAAAAAAAAAATTAAAATAAAAACCAGTTCTTAAAAAATTTTTCCAAGTCTATTATACGAGTATTCTAAATTTTCACGATATATTTTCAAATCGACTCTGTTGCTTTCTGTATAGCTCAATTACATGGTACATACATATATACATATACATATATATTTACAAAAACAAAACTATATACACATCTAGACATTAGTGTAGAAAATCGTGATTGCATAAAAATTCGAATGGGTGCACCACATGACAACATTTCATATATGCGTTTACATACATACATACATAAATGCAGTATAAACTATAAAAATTAGCATCAGGTGGGAGCTTAATGATGCAAGAAAATGAAAATGAAAAATAATAACTACCTATGTATCTATTACAATATTAGAAATATTAAAAAAAAACACAGACAAGAAAGTTATTAAAACTGCAGTTAAACAGAAAGAAAAAAAAAATATTAAACGGCAACAACCGCTTACTGTAAAATTTGTGGTAAATCAAAATAAAGTAGTAGATTTTTTCTCTAATTTAACCTTCACGTTTTATAATGAAATTTGTTTTTTTTTTTTTGTTTTTCTCTTTTTCATTATAATTCAATTAAATAGGAGAACGAATTATAATGCACGAATATACGCAACATATATGAAACGGTAATTTAATTTCATGTATAACGGAACTGAAATTAATTTTAAATTGCATCATTTATAAAGAAAAACAAATGGAGTAGATATTATATTTTTTATTAATTTTAAAAATTTTGTTCATTTCAGGAAAAAAAATGAGTGTTAAGGCGAAGAACTGCATAAATATCAATTCAGTAACGTAAATGAATTAATAATTAATGCTTTATTAATAAAAAGTGAGCTTACGTCGTCCAAAAAATTTGAATTGTAAAACAATAAATTGGTGAATAAAATAAAATCTTTGCATTTTTCCAATTTTGATTTTATTCTCGAATATTATATGGGCTAATAAATGAATATGTTATTTATTTATTTTATTTCCTAATTACTATATAGATCTTATTTCGTAAAGTATGCATTGGTCTTTACAATAATTTTAATTGCAATGAAAATCAAGCTGAAAGAATAAAAAAATTTTTCTTTTTATATGTATATGGCATTTTCACTCAATTGAAACAATTATAAGTTTTGGGTGATTTCAATTAGTAACACAAATCTCTATTTGGAGAATAATTTAGATTAAAAGTCATTTGTACAACGAAAACGAAATTTTATTCTGCATAAAATAAATTGCATTTAAATTCAATTACAGAAATTTTAGTGGAAAATTATTGAGTCTTCAATGAAAAGAATTGTTATACATCAAAAATTTATTTTTAATTCTTTGATATTCCATAATGTTTTATGTTGAGTCATATTATGACAACCACGTATCAATATGACTGACAGTGACAATGTTTTCAAAAATTTGTAATTTTGTGCAGATACAAATTATGTAGATTTTGTAAAAATTATTTCCAGGAATTGCTTTGTACTTAATAATTTTGAATTTTTTACGACAAAAGCTAACAGTATTAAACTTTTCAGAACAAATCCCATCGTATATTGTTCATTATTAATTTGACAGATCAATTTTCAATTTCATAAAAAGTGAAAATGTTAAGTCAGAATTCTATTAAAATTAAAAAAACGTACATTCATAATACGTTATAGCTATATTCAATTTATGTCAACACATACTTATAGATATTTATATATGTATGTATTATGCATTTTAAAATTGTTGTTAATTTAAAAAATTTTTTTCCATTTTATTATTATTTTATAATGAAATAATTTTCTTGAACACA